CGCTGGCGCGCGCGTGTATTGTATGAGTGTCAATATGAATACGAAGACAGCGAGACGAAGCTCCATTTTGCGCATGCGAACACATACATGGGAGGAAAATAACGTTGTTCGTTAGATTAATAGGTAAAACCTCTGACTGGAAGCTGTTCTGTTTTCTTTATTCAACAATAACGCTGAGCACTACATACTTCTAACAATACAGTGAATTACTGCGACTCAGCCTTTTCTTTCGTATTCTTCTCCCACACATACGCCGACGGAGAATAGATAATTGTCATTTATATCGCATGAAATGTGGGCGCTGCGGCGGTTTCATTCCAGTAATCAATGAGATACTTGCAGTATTATATACAATCTGGAGCTTTATTTGGAGAATTATATACGTTAACGAGCATATGCCGATAAATAGATAGAGATAGAAAACGATTTTATGTGGAATTGAATAAAATATTGCCGCACTTTTTATATCATATAGTCATATTGGTTAAATGTATTTTATTAGTTTTTATCTACCTGTCTTTTGATGCTAATGAACTATATTGTTACTATTAATTAAATTACTATTTTCTTTGCACGCAACAGAAAACAGTGGGATAAAAATTATGTGATTTAATGACGGTATTGTTTTTAATTAATTTAATGCTTTTATGAGTACAAATTTTGTAAAATACATGAATATGTGAAAGACAAGCTAATTAGTAGATACTTTTATATAATCGTTGTGTTATTGATGTACCAAATTCTTTACTAAGATTATTAGTAAAAATTATCGCTAATAAATAATGTTGTATAATTAATTATTTAAAATGTATATGCATATACGAATGTAGCAAAATGATAATAAATATGGTAAAACCATTATCATTATGATTGAAGACAAAGCAAAGATTTATGGAAGTATAATAAGAAAAAATAAATATCTTTTATTGTAAAGTGATTAATGATTATTAATAATTATAATTTATATATATATATATATATATATATATATATATATTTCAGATAAGAAAACAGAGCAAGACTTGACAAAATTATACATTTCTATTTTTAAATGACTTTGTAGACTGGAATTTTTTCCTAGAAATGAAAATATATTTGAAAGTACATAAGAAAAAATTATAATCAATAATTATTATTAATAACTGCTATAAATGGAGATAGAAAATTGATAATTGATATAGTGAAATTGTCGTTGAAAACTTATATACTAAATATATCATAATAGTCATACTCGAATTATCACTTAACATATTTTTTACTTTCTCTATAAAAAGTAATTAAAAAAATTTTCAGTTGCATGAAGTTTATTTTAAATTATAATTACAAATAAATAATACCCTATTATAAAAATAGAGTTGAGGCAACATCATAATTACAAGATTTCTTTTAAATACTTTATTTCATAAGAATTTTACTTTTATTGTTATTTTCATTCAACATTTATATATAATAGAAAATTACCTTATCAACACTTCCACATTTTCCTATATCCTTTTACTTGAGAATAATAGTACGAAAATAGTACACGTGCAAATTTTCCATTAATACAACAGGGAATAGATATTGAAGACAGTGAAGACATTTCTCAACAACTACTCTATTTACTTTATATGGTTTCATTGACTGTGAGTAATTTTATCTTTTAATTGCGCAATTTATAATTATTCTGTGACATGGATTACGTAGGATCAATAAAATACAATCAAATAAGTTCGTTATGGATATTTAAACAATACACTAGTATTTGTGTTACTTTATATTTAAAATTACAGATACATTTATGTACTTATCTATACACATATCTATAATATTCTGCAGTAGCAAAGGAGACGCAAACATGTTATTTCTCAAAAGTATTACATGGAGGCATAAAAATAGAATCTTTACTTCCTTCAAGACTTTCATAATTTTTAAACCAATGATTTTTCTTCTCATTCTACTTCACCTGAACCTTCATTCACTTTTAGCCATTTATACGCGAACAACTCGGATGCTCCATTGTGCTGTTGCCAGCACTTGTGCATTTGTCAACGCGCGATTGCCACTTTCCTCCTATATAACATCGATCGTTTGAATACTTTTACTTCTGTGCTTATCAGATCTATTCATCCGAGCAAATACCAACTGTGAAATGCAATTTTATGCTAAAGAAAAATGCCATTAAAAATCAACGAGTAAGCCATAGGAAATAAAAGAACTGCTAAAATATTTCATTTTAATTTGTTGCAAAGTATAAATTCACTTTTACATACAATTAAGGATTAGCGAAATAGAATTAACGGTCACAGCTTTGGTTCAATGCAGCTTCATTTTCATTTGAATTTTCTCAAATTATATAATATGAATGAATGAGTGGAGATTAATCTTAATATCATATACATTAATTCAAGTTTTCAAACAAAAAGTTACATTGCCTGTGTGAGATGATCACGCACGAACATATCACCATCAATATTTTCAATTGATCAATAATGATCAATCAATTATGCAAGATAATATTTAAAAATTTTCAACTTTAAAGAATTATCGTAAAATAACATGTTGTCCTTGTATATTCTCGGTCTATTAATACTTGTTAATTCAAACAAAAATTTAAGCTAAAAATATTTAATGAAAATTCGAAACATTATTTAATGTTTATTTTACATTATTATTTAAATGGGCAGATCTCGTGTCTACTTTAATGTATTTAAATATACCTTAACTTTTATCTTTCGATTTAATTAGACAACAAGTGTCGATATTCACATTTATACAAAATTTAACTGAACTAAATTTGTAACTGAATTTAATTTCAGTAAATTGATTAGCGATTCCTACAAACGTCAAAGCCATAAATGTTTAAATTAATATTTTTAATAACCTAATTGATATTCTAACAGTATCTAAAAATTATTCATAAAATAATATACAAGTGCATTGCATTTTTAACTTAAATGGAAATAGCATTAAAAGGGGAAGCCATACCATTTATAAACACGAATGGTAGTGGAGCATGATAGTGTACATACAAATACTATCATATGTAACCATAGATATTGTGCCATAGGAATTTTTTTCCAATATTCGATAGTCAGTGAATCCTTTGAATTTTAACAAATCATTTAGCAACACAATGTTAATTTTGCAACATGTCAACCGCTCAAAACGCCATATGCTCTTCAAAATTATAATTGAAATGTTATTATATTTATGCAAAAGCACATTTCACGAAACATATTCAATTTGCCGTATAACTATAGCATTTACTTTTGGGATATTCGATATCTCGAACATATAAGAGACAAAAATAAAGTCTCTCCATTGTCCACTAAGATATTGGCGTACTTTTCACGCAATGATTAATTTCTCTCTCTCTCTCTCTCTCTCTCTCTCTCTCTCTTTTCCTTCACACTCAAGCTAGGAAGAGATAATATTACATCCATAGTATATTATCTTGTTATTTCTTTATCAAGTTTCGCAATCAAGTTTTTTAGTTGTTTCCATTTATCTATTTTTACTTCACTCATCTGTTTCTAAATTTTATCTCAACTCGAATGCTCGTGCACTTAAAAGAAAGTATCAAATACCGAATACGATAAGAAAAAACAAGTCTTTTGGATAAATGTAGAAAAGAATTTTTACAAATAATTAATATTTTTGTAAATTATAATTATCGATTTTAATTATAATAACTAATAAACCCTCTTGATAGCATTCAGATTCATTAGGATTAAACTCTTAGGACGATATTATTAATATTATAAAAATAAAAAAAACACATAATGCTTTGTTATAATTATTATACATACTCATACATTTGTAGTTCCCGTTCGTTCTTAAGTTATGCGATTTAGTCTCGTAATAACGTTTTTCAAATGCATAAACATTTACGAGTATCGTTTCATTTCTTTCTAAAAAAAAAAAATTCAATAGTTTTTACAAGAATTTATTATCATTTTTAACTCTATTCTATAAAAATATATCACTAACATCGACATTTATCGACATGAAAACTTTAACATCGCTATAAGTGC